AGAGGGAAAATTTGAATGTGAGATGTTTGAAATTAGGAAATGAATTGCATTAGTAAGGGGACTGGTTGGAGGGAGTTTTGGGCATGCTTGAATATTTGTGTTCTCTTGAGTTCTTGGGTGTTTGGGCTCTAGATTGCTTTTCTTGAGATTTGGGAGAGAACGATCCTTCTCTCGAATTGAGGATCACTTGTATCTTGCTTTGTCTTTGTTTGACTTGATTTTCTCATTGCAATCCATCGTTTGGGGGCTATTTTTCCGCTTGCATTATTTTCGTTGTTTTCACCAATTAGTGATAGATTTGCTTGCGAACTCAAGTATTTCCCTTGGGGATTCTTGTGAACTCAAGTATTTCCTATCAAATTGGTATCAGAGCATCATCATGGGACCGTCGATGGCTGAATTTTTGAAATCTTTGCGGTTTTTTTTTTTGTGCATCCGGTAGAAGCTCTCTTGTGATCCTTGAGAAGAAAGATGGCCGGAAAGAAGGTCGAAGTGTTGGAAGGTGAAATTGGACAATTAAAATTGTATTTGGAGGAAAAATTCTTTGATTTTCAAAATCAAATCTCCTCCAACAATGAAAGGTTGGAACTTGGAAGGGAAGTTCACTTTGATGTAAGAGATGTTGAAGAAACTATTAGAGGTGAAGACCAATCCGATGACATCGGAAGCAAGGGAGACCACCGGCAGCCATGGTATAGGAGGGAATCCGATCCCGTTTAGGGGGGAGGAAAAATTCGGAAGTGGAGATCCTAGAGGGGGAGGACGACATGCCACATCTAGAACCACTTTCTAGAGAGGAGATGAGCATGGGTTATGAAAAGAGGGGTGCTAATTTTGTGGGAAAATGGGGGATTTCCACCACCGAGGTGCTGATTTTGAAAGGAGAGGGGAAGTTGATGAAGACTATGGTTATGATCGCTGGAGGGAAGATCGTGACAGCTAGGGAGCAACTCTTGTTCGTGGCATGGGAGGATGTGGAGGAAATTGGGGTGGCCCGAAGGTCATAAATATGAAGATGCCCGTCTTCGAGGGCGAGGATGGACATTGTTGGATCTACAAGGTGGAACGATACTTTTTCGTCAACGGGCTGACAGAGGAAGAGAAGCTGACAGCGGCAGGACTATGCTTAGAGGGAAAGACATTGACTTGGTACCAATGACAGGACATGAGGCAACCCATCAGGAGCTGGAGAGAGTTCAAGGCATGCTTACTGGAACGTTTCCGAACCAGAAGGGGAGGGGACTTCTATGAGCAATTCTTTACCTTGATGCAGGAAGGGACAGTGGTAGAGTTTCGTGATCGTTTTGAGTACCTAGCTAGCCGACTTGACCATCTATTTGAGACTGTGCTTGAGGGGAACTTCATGAAGGGGTTCAAACTGTAGCTCAGAGGAGCTGTTAGAATGATGCGACCGCACAATTTGGGGGAGGTCATGGAGTTGGCACAACTGGTTGAGGACCAGAAGCATATGGAGAGGGGGGGCTCATGGCAGTAGTTCAGGGGGATCCTGAAGGATGACTTCTACTTTTCTAGCTCCCAAAGGAGCTGTACTAGGAGGATCACGGGAAGTACTGAGGGAGAAGTTTGGAGGAGGGCCTGGAGGACATTTTAAGAAGCTGACAGAGAAGGAGATCCAGGAGAAGTGGGCTAAGGGGTTGTGTTTCAGGTGCGATGAGAAGTACATGCCAGGGCATAGGTATAAGGACCGAACTCCTTAGATTCTCACCGTCTGTGATGACGAGGAAGCTGAAGAGGGAGGTGAAAGCGGGTTAGAGATGGAAGAGGAGGAGAAGTTGCATTTGGATGTTGCAGAATTCTCCCAAAACTCAGTAGTGAGTTTCACTCCAAATCACACTATGAAGGTAAAGGGGGAGATAGCTGATAGGGATGTGGTAGTGTTGGTAGATAGTGGGGGAACCCAAAATTTCGTCTCCACCCAAATTGTTGATCAATTGGGGGGTGAAACTAGTGGACACAGGAGGGTACGGGGTGATGATGGACATTAGAAAGGTAGAAATGGGTAGAGGAGTTTGTAGGGGAGTGGTGTTGACCATTCAGGGGATACAGATGAGGGAGAATTTTCTTCCCTTGGAATTGGGGAGTACGGTTTTAGATATCTTGGAGGGGATTGTGACTTTGGGCGATCAAGTCATTAATAAGAGTACACGTTTTAGATATCTTGGATCTATTGTTCAGAGTGATGGTGAAATAGATGGGGATATTATCAGCAGAATTCAAGTTGGATGGTTGAAGTGGAGGAATGCATCGGGCTTATTATGTGATAGAAATGTACCCCTCAAACTTAAGGGAAAATTCTATAAGATGGTAGTGAGGCCTGCAATGCTTTATGGTGCCGAATGTTGGCCTTTAAAAGAGAAGCATAATACTAAGTTAAGTGTGGCAGAGATGAGGATGCTCAGGTGGATGAGTGGCTTTACCCTTAGAGATAGGATACGAAATGAGCATATACGTGAAAAGGTTGGAGTAGCTCCAGTAGAAGATAAGATTAGAGAAAGTCGCCTTAGATGGTTTGGTCACATAAAACGGCGGCCTTGCGATGACCCGGTTAGGAGAGTAGAGGTATTAGATTTGACTTATGTTAAGAAAGGTAGGGGTAGACCTAAAAAGACTTGGTTAGAAAATATTAGGAATGACCTTTCTTTATTAGATTTAAACGAGAATTTGACTTTTAATAGGACACAATGGAGACAAAGGATTCATGTAGCCGACCCCACGTAGTGGGATAAAGGCTTGATGTTGTTGTTGTTGTTGTTGGAATTGGGGAGTACGGATGTCATCTTAGGGATGAAATGGCTACAAATCTTTGGGGAGACCAATGTGAATTAGGGAGCACTGAGAATGGAATTGGTGGTGGGGGAAGGAGAATGGTGATACAGGGAGATGTTGGGCTATCTTGAGCGGGAGTGTCTCTCAAGTCCATGATCAGAACCATACAGGAGGTTGGAGGTGGATATTTGGTAGAATTGCAACGATTGGAGAGAGTCAGTGTGGGGGAAGAGGGGGATATTCTTCTTGTAGTGCAACCGGTCATACAACAGTTCAGTGAGGTGTTCTAGCCACCTCAAGGTTTACCACCACTCAGAGAACTGGAGCATGCAATTCTTCTAAATGAGGGAGTGTCACCGATTAGTGTACGACCCTACCGCTATCCCCAGATTCAGAAGGATGAAATTAAGAAGCTAATTAGGGAGATGTTGGAGGTTGTGATCATCAGACCAAGTGTAAGTCCTTTCTCTAGCCCGGTGTTACTAGTCAAAAAGAAGGATGAGAGTTGGAGGTTTTGTGTGGATTACAAGACGTTAAATAAGGATACTGTACCAGATAAATTTCCCATCCGGTGATTGATGAGCTTTTGGATGAACTGTATGTAGCAGTGATGTTCTCCAAATTGGATTTGAAGTCAGGATACCATCAAATTCGGATGAGGGAGGAAGACATATCGAAGACAGCGTTCCGGACACACGAGGGGCATTATGAGTTTCTGGTTATGCAATTTGGGCTGACCAACGCCCCTGCTACTTTCCAGTCATTGATGAACTGGGTGTTTAGACAATATCTTCAGAAGTTTGTGCTGGTGTTCTTTGATGACATCTTGGTGTACAGCAGAACTGAGGAGGAGCTTCTGAAGCATTTAAAGCTGGTATTGGGAGTTCTATAGGAGCATCAGCTGAGGGCCAACCTGAAGAAGTATTGTTTTGCCCAAACTAGTGTGGAGTACTTGGGTCATATCGTGTCCAAGGAAGGGGTGGCGGCTGATCAGTTAAATGTGGAGGCTATGTTGAGATATCCCTTACCTAAGAATCTGAAGGAGTTGAGAGGATTCTTAGGGCTGACGTGATACTACAGGAGATTTGTTAAGGGGTACAGTACTATAGCATGTCCACTGATAGTGCAGTTGAAGAAAGATGGATTCCTATGGGGAGAGGCAGCCACAATAGCATTTGAGAAACTAAAGAAGGCTATGGCCACAATACCCATCTTAGCTATACCAGACTTCACTCAAACCTTCATAGTGGAGACAAACGCTTCAGGATACGGATTGGGGGCAATACTCATGCATGTTAGGCGACCCAATACCTACTTCAGCCAAGTGTTGGCAACCAGAACCAGGCTAAAATCAGTTTATGAGTCGAGTTAATGACTATCGTTTTAGCCATCCAGAAGTGGAGATCCTACCTGTTAGGTTGAAATTTTATTGTCAGAACAGATCATAGGAGCCTGAAATACTTGTTGGAATAGTGGATGGTGATTGAAGAGCATCAGAGATAGCTGTCAAAGCTGTTGGGGTATGATTTTGAAATCCAGTACAGACCAGGAGGGGAGAACAAGGCGGCGGATGCGTTGTCCAGATGTATGGGAGAGCAGACAGTGGCATTGTCTGTCCCTTTGATGCTGGATTGGGAGGCCATTAAGGAGGAGAGCTCTAGGGATGATGAGGAGTTGGGGAAGATCAAGATGGCATTATTGAGGGAAGGTGGTAGCCACCCAGTGTACTCAGTAGAGGGGGACAAATTGTTGTATCAAGGGAGGTTCGTGATGCCCAGGACCTCCAACCACATCCCAAACTTACTCCAGAAATTTCATGGAAGTGCAGTTGGGGGCCATTCAGGGGTGCAGAAGACCTACAATAGATTAGCGGCTGAGATTTACTGGAAGGGAATGCATAGAGATGTGGAGGAGATGGTGGCAAAGTGTGAGATATGTCAGAGGAACAAATACCTGGCTATGTCACCAGGGGGACTACTACAGCCATTGGTGTTACCAGGATGAGTATGGGAGGAGATATCCATATACTTTATAGATGGGCTGCCTCATTCAGAAGGTTTCACAGTGATTCTAGTGGTAGTGGATAGATTGAGCAAGTACACTCATTTTATTCCCCTCTGACATCCTTACACCGCGGTGACAATGGCTTCAGCTTTCATCAGAAAGGTGGTCAGATTGCATGGGGTACCGAAGGCAATTGTGTCAGATAGAGATAAGGTATTCCTTAGTCATTTTTGGAGGGAATTATTTAGGTTGTAGGGTACAGTCCTGAAGAGGAGCATTGTTTACCACCCACAGATAGATGGTCAAACGGAAGTGGTCAATATAGACCTACTTGAGATGCTTTGTGTCAGAGACACCCAAGCTATGGGTCAACTGGCTATCATGGGTGGAGTACTAGTACAACACCTCGTTTCACTCGGCTTCACAGATGACTCCATTCAAGGTGCTGTACGAAAGGGACCCTCCTCACTTGGTGCACTTTGGTAGTAGCAGTACTCTAGTTTCTTCAGTGGAGAAGTACTTGGAGTAGAGATATCAAGTGTTAAAGGAATTGAAGAAGCATCTACTGAGAGCTCAACAAATTATGAAGAAACAAGCTGATGTGCATAGGAAGGACATCCAGTTCGAAGTAGGAGAGAGGGTGTTCTTAAAGCTCCGACTATGTCGACAAAAAATAGTTGCCAACAGGAGAAATGAAATGCCTGCTCCAAGATACTTTGGACCTTATGTAATATTGGACAAAATTGGAGCGGTAGCATATTGACTGCAACTACCTCCCACGGTGACTATTCATCCTGTTTTCCATGTGTCGCAGCTGAGAAGAGCCATTGGAGATTACACAGCCAGTTCGGAGTTACCGGCAACACTTACTGAGGACTTGAAGGTGATTCTAGAACCCTTAGAATTTATTAGGGTTTGCCAGAAAGAATATGGAGCTAAAGAAGTGTTAATCAAGTGGAAGAATCTGCCTGACTATGATGCCATGTGGGAACCATACGAGAGAGTGAAACACCAGTTTCCTAGTTTTCACCTTGAGGACAAGGTGATTCTTTGGGAGGATAGTATTGTTAGACCTGTTCAGATTTACAAAAGGAGGACTGGTGGGGTCTCTCCCCCCTTTAATGCTGCTACCCATTTGGAGCAGTGGGGAGAAAGGGTTGTGGGAGGCTAGTTTGAGAGGGAAAATTTGAATGTGAGATGTTTGAAATTAGGAAATGAATTGTATTAGTAAGCGGGCTGGTTGGAGGGAGTTTTGTGCATGCTTGAATATTTGTGTTCTCTTGAGTTCTTGGGTGTTTGGGCTCAAGATTGTTTTTCTAGAGATTTGGGAGAGAACGATCATCCTCTTGAATTGAGGATCACTTGTATCTTGCTTTGTCTTTGTTTGACTTGATTTTCTCATTGCAATCCATCGTTTGGGGGCTGTTTTTCCGCCCAGATCTTGCATTATTTTCGATGTTTTCACCAATTAGTGATAGTTTTGCTTGCGAACTCAAGTATTTTCGTTGGGGATTCTTGCGAACTCAAGTATTTCCTATCACATCTCTAATTATGATGACAACTAATATTTATGGGCTCAAAAAATTTGTGCTTTCTCTATTGAGAGGCTTCATAGTGTTTCAGGTCAAATTTTTAGAAGTCAGGTTATATTACAAATGTGAAACTAACCAAAAATTTCACCATCATTTTGCGAGAAATTTAAGATATAGTTTAAATTTTCTAGATGCGCAAGTACTTATGATTAATTACCCCTCCTGTTGATTGGAGAGAAGTTTTGATTAAAGTTAATTGTTAGAAGCTAATTGCTTGGTAATATTTTAAAGGTGTTGTAGTAGTAATTTGATTTTAGATTGTGGAAATGTATCGTCATTTTTCTTATAATGGATGGTTAGGTGATGATGATGATGGACCTAATTAAGATCACTTGATTCTATTGTCCCTCATTGTTTACTTATCAGTAGAGATAGTTAGCCATACTTGACAGAAGTATACTTATTGGTAATAATGGGTTGTAGACTTGGGGTAGATGCATGTTTAAGGGGACGAATTCAAGTTGAACTTAGTTTATAAATGGATTTGTGCTCTATTATGTGTACCCTATGAATTACAATTTAAGAGTTTTTAAGAATTTGTTGGACTTACGGGCTTTGACTGTGACTGTAACTTAATGACACCGTCAGAGAGAAGGCCTTAATCAGAAGTGTTTGCATGTAGTGCCATTTGGTAACCAAACTATCGATTATATGACATGTGCCTTGTTCTTACTGATGAGAAATTATTTGAGGGTGAACATAGCTATTTGCTTGACAAGATATTTGCTATTTGTGAGTTGAGATTATTCTTAATACTAAAAGGATTTTTTTTTTCTTTTTTAATTTGAAAAATGAGGTGGAGAGAGAGTTAGAGAAAGATGGAAAGATAAAGAGAGTGAGATAAAGATAGAGAAAAAGTGAGACTAAAATATTCAGAGAGATGAAGGGAGGTGTAGAGTAGAAGAGAGAAAAAGAGAGTTCCTTTCTTTGTTTAAAGAGAAAATGGGAGAGTTAGAGAGAGATGAAGGGAAGAGGAGATAGTACAAAGAGTAAGAGAAAGAAAAATTGATTTCACTCTCTCTATTTAGATGGAGAAAGGGAGAAATAGGGAGTTAAAGAGAGAGTTGGAGAGAGAAATAAATAAATAGAGTGAGAGAGAAGTGGGAGAAGGAGAGGAGAGAGTGTCACACCTAATTTTGACCTCTTTTCAGTCAAATATGACTTATAAAAGAGGCGGACAAAATTTAGTCAAATATATTTTCTACCAACACCGCTTCCTACTTTTATTATCAGGGTCATGCAAGTGGAAAATTAGTTTACAAAAATCCAATAAGCATACAACACATTATAATCCACTAATACCTTCATAATAATAATTTATAGAAGCGTGCATAGATAAAATCATCAAATAGATGGAGAAAGGGTGATGCGGACATCCAACCGTCCATGCTAATCTGAGGAGCTGAAGATCGACGACCGAGATCACTTTGTTTTATTTTTATTTATTAAGTGTATTTTAATTTAGTTTTGCAATTTCCCTTTTTATCCTCTTGTCCATGTAAGCCCAAGGGGTGAATGTGTCTTTTA